AACGCAGACATACCCAACTATCTCATTAGAAATGTTGAAATGTTAAGACATGGTTTGTATAATTTCTAATCTTTTTGTAATTATTTTATTGACTATCATGTTCTAATATTACTGGTTCAATTGAATGTTGAAAAGAAAAAGAAACAGGCTACATTTAATGTCCAAATAGGTGACTTATGGATCCTTTTATTGCTGCTTCAATTACTGTTTTTCATAGTTTCAAACTTGAGTAATACTAAATGTTCAGAGACACGATCACTCAGTCAACAATAAAATAGCCTCATTAATGTTCAGTAATGGTTTGTGACTTTTAAAATATGGGTCCCAAGAAAAAAAGAGATGTACAGCAAGAAAACTATGAGGATTATGATGGGAACAGTGTTCGTATGGAGTAGTGTCCAAAAGAAACCCAGCAAAGTTTAGCAGTGCAATAATTCACAGTGTACAACTATGAACAGTGTGTAGATGTACAACTATGAACAGTGTGTAGATGTACAAGTATGAACAGTGTGTAGATGTACAAGCATGAACAGTGTGTACATGTACAAGTATGAACAGTGTGTAGATGTACAAGTATGAACAGTGTGTAGATGTACAACTATGAACAGTGTGTCAGTCAGTGGCGGAGCATGCATTGGAACGTGCATTTCACATCTAGACCTTCAGTAGTGCTTTGTCTGAAACAATCCTCAATACTCCTCTTCAATAACTATTTTATGGTTACATTAAACACAGTATAAAGAGCCGTGGAGATTCTGTGCAGGTAGAAGTGAGGAGAGGGGGGTGCACGGTGCACGGAGAAGAAGTGAGGGGCGCTGGGGTGCTAAACCAGGACTAAACCAGGAACTAAACCAGAACTAAACCAGAACTAAACCAGGACTGTTTGTCGGGACTGGCCTGAAGGTGCGCCTGCGTAGATTGTCAGGTGACTGCAGACGAAAGGACTGCGCCGGGGCCGATGCTCCGCACTGCCCGGGGCTCAGTGCAGCTGTCGCCTGATCGCACTTTGCAGACACTCTCTCACTTGCTCTCTCTCTCTCTCTCAAGTCCAAGATTAGTCCTGGTTTAGACCTGGTTTAGACCTGGTTTAGTCCTGGTTTAGACCTGGTTTAGACCTGGTTTAGTCCTGGTTTAGTCCTGGTTTAGACCTGGTTTTAGTCCTGGTTTACCTGGTTTAGACCTGGTTTATTCCTGGTTCCGCTACAGATGCTGCTGTTTTTGCTGGTTCGCTCTCTGACTGTCCAATCAGCGGCTCTGAATCTGGTGATGTCGTACGTCTGCTAGAAGACCCTGGTGACACCAACTCAAAATCTGATTAGTTGAAGCAACAGTTTCATGGACATTTATTTTGTGTTCAAGGGCCTTCAGAACAGCTTCTGAAGGCTTTGACTCTGCCTGGCAACAAGTGACAGCTGAAATGTGATTGGTCAAATAATTTAATATGAAAATACATGTGTGGAAGCAGCACAAAAAGGAAGAGGACAGAATGTTTGGAATTATTTAATAATAATAATATCATTCACAAAAGTCTGTGATTCAGATATTTTTTTAGGCCAGCAGAGAAGGCCTTGCAGGCCCTGAGGCCCACCACTGGTGTAACTTTACAAGTATGAACAGTGTGAGTTTGCACACAAGTATGAACAGTGTGTTGTTGTACAAGTATGAACAGTGTGTTGTTGTACAAGTATGAACAGTGTGTTGTTGTACAAGTATGAACAGTGTGTTGTTGTACAAGTATGAACAGTGTGTTGTTGTACAAGTATAACTCAGAGCTACACTCAGTATGTGACCTTTTGAGAGCAAAATGGGCAAGCTCAAGAGGATAAAAATGTTTTTAAGCCGTGTATCAGAGTGCGGTGAACACAATCAGGTTAAACAAATTGTCAACAAAGTTTCCACAAAGAGTGAGCCTTAACACTATCATTAACACGTAATTAGAGAGCAGATAAATGTCACACAAACAAACAGGTGTCTACAGTGACGCAGTCGTAATTATCACATTTTTGGCGGAGTCTATCTTGAGTTTTGCTTGGCTTCAAATCAATATCAAATCAATACTTTATTCAATACTTTATTGATCAAAAGGACCAAAAGGAAAAAAATCTGGTGTCCATGTAACTCAAATTCACACATTTTTCACACTAAAAATCGTTTAGGATTCATAAAAGGAAATCAACAGTTATTACAATATGATAATTTTTATGATACAAGATCAGGAAGTACATAACTATGTAGTTATGTAAGACTGACATGAACTTATTCTAGTACTTACCGGAGAGTTTCTGGAAATTTCCCTTCACACTTACATGACAGGTTTTTACATTTTTTCAAACTATTACTTTGTTTGGTTCGGTGCCTGTGTCAGTATTCATCATAGTTTTCATCAGTTAAGTGGCAGTTTGTGAACTTTACTCATTAGGTCACTAGTGTAATTTTGTATTTATTTATGTTTATTAAAGACATCATAATCACATTAGCACAAGTGTTAGTTTTCAACACGTGTCCATATAAAAAAATATAAACTACATGCATAAAAACAGACAAGACAAAACACATAAGTTACAGATACAGATAAGAAGAAGAAGAAGCCATATAGTTGGAAGAAACCATTTTCTGGCCTATAGTGTTTTGCTGAATATAGGTTTATGTTGTTATAAGAATCTGTGGTTCAAAAAAAAAAAAGTGCAGATACAGAAAAACAGTAAAAAAAAAAAAAAGTACGGTGTTGCTTTCATGCATTTAATATTTCTGAATATAAAATGAAATGTTCCTGATAAGAAAGGGGGATGTAGTAATATGTGGGTAGGAACCTATGTTGTGTGTTATATGTTCCTGAGGGACCCCCAGGCAATGCCCACTAGTAACAGCTCTTGTACTGACTCTGTGTGAACATTTTATGGTCCTGGCAAATTCTGAATACAGTGATGTATCACGATTAAGACACTTCAAAAAGACTTTAAGAACAGGCTGTTTCTTTCAAATTTGGCAGTGGTGCCAGTGTGTGAGCTTTTTGTCTGTGTGGGTTAGACATATTGTCTTATGATTCTTACAAGACAATATGTCAAATAATGTAAAATACATGTCTAAAAATGTTTCCATCCTGATGAAGTGTTAGTTAATGACCTGCTGTGGCGCACTGGTCCAGTGGGACATCATTATTTTGTCCCTCTGTGGACATGTGACCAGAGCGCTGTATCTGATTGGTCCCTATGGTCACACTGTTTTCAAATGGAGCAGAGCAGCAAGTGTGGCTAAAGTGAGAGCAATAAACAATGATGAAAAGATTGCAGCTGTCTGTCCTCAGTGGGACTGAGTATAGTCGACTGGTAGTCAAAATGTTCACCTTAACCCTAACTTTTTTGTTAAGAATCCATTTCCTTGTCTTGTCCTTATTTATGTATGTATTTATTTGATTGTTAATGGACAGACATGATATAACATGTATGGAAAAACACTGGCTTATAGCCAAAGAGTCATCTTCATCTGTTGTCCCACAGGGCTGGGGTCACACGGAGCCAAACAATCACACATTGCACAATCCACTTTATTATAGAACAGTTCATAAACAGTTACAGAGTGCTGCACAAATACACAGTAATAACAACAATAATAATATAATGATCAAATAAATGTTCAGGTTTAATCATACTAGTCTTAAAACAATAAAACCAGCAAAATAAAATAAAAGCATAAACATAGAATAGCAATAAATAAATAAACCAATCAAATAAATAAAAGACACAGAGGAGCACACAACTCACACACTGTTAAAAGCCCGAGAGTAAAAGTAGATATATAGTAGTATATATATATATATATATATATATATATATATATATATATATATATATATATATATATATATATATATATATATATATATATAAATTAGCTTTAAAAGAGCTGTATGTAGGACATTCTGTCAGTGTCAGTGGACAACTGTTCCACAGATTCCCACACTGGACACATAAGACATGTATGGCACTATGAACAGGTCTCTGACACTCTTGTGTCTTGGTCTCGTCCACTCCTTCTTGGCCCATCTGTCTGCTGGTTTCTCCATCTGTCCAGTGCCTTCCCTTGTGCCCATGGGCCTCCTGCCTGAGCTGTGCTGAGCCTGTGCTCATCCTGGGTGGGGTTCACTTTCACTTTCAAATATTATCACACTGAACATCCAAGACAAAACGAGGCATCTTTATTTACCATTATCTATTGTTAAAGGACATTTCATACAAAACACAAACTCACTGATACTTTGCGGCTGATGGCATCAACACCAAACTAACTAGAGGCACTGCTCTGACTGAAGCTGTTACTCAAATCAGACTTTAACCTGAGCTTTGTTTTAACACAATCTGATCATAAAGAACTGACTTAGTACATACACATTTTAGGACTCTCTCTGTTTCCATGAAATAACAAAATAATATAAAATATGAAACTGACCTAAGGAGTGTACAGTCAGTGCATTATTCACAAAGTAACTGACATAAGAGGTGAATAAAACACTCAGCATGCTCTTTGCACATATAACTTAACCTCAGATTTATCTTCATGTTTTTGTCATTTTTAAAATACAACACCAGTCAAAAGTTTAGATTTACATTCTCTTTCCATGTTGTTTTTTCTTTGTGTTAGACATATGGACTAGACATCACATACATGAGGAAAGATATATGGAATTATTTACAAAAGAAAAAACTTAAATAACTCAACTCTAAAAAAAATAAATAAATACAAATTCTGCAAAGCTCTGCAAACTCCCGGCTTTCTCTCTGAGCTTCGTTATGAAGTGGGAGTTATTTTTAGTTGGATTTTTGTCTACTACATGTCATGTTCATTCTTTTTTTTTTGCCTCCAGTGAGAATCCCCCTTGACAAACCCTCGCTTTCACACTTTCAAACATAAAATTACACAAGTGACGACTGGCTGCGCAAAACATAATAATTAAGAAGTCATTTATATTTAAAAATAATGGCCTTTATTGAATCTGAAGCGTATTAGTGACTGACAGTACAATGTAACATGTTCTTACACAGCTCTCGGACTTTGGTCAGTTTAAATCCGTAGATTAAAGGATTAAACAGTGGCTGAACTGCCAGAAAATACAGCGATAAAACCAACGCGACGGCGCTGTGCAAGTTCTGCAGGTCGAATCTGCTCCCTAAGACTTCGAAAAACACTCCGAATGAGAAGTTCAAGAGCGAGGCCAGGTGAGGAGCACAGGTACTGAGAGCTTTCTGCCGCGTGTGCCTGGAGCCCCTGAAGCACACCTTTAAAATACAAATATACGTACTCATCATTAAGAGCAAAGGCCCAAAGACTGTGAGGATCGTTACGAAGAGTCCGTAGATGTTGTTGACGGAAGTGTCAGAGCAGGAAAGCTTAACGATAGAATAGTTATTGCAGTAGACTTTAGGGACGGTCTGTTCACAAAGCTGTAAAAGCGACGTTAACAAAACCACAACGAGAACAATTCCGAAAGCGTAGAACCAGGGAAAAGCAAGAAGACACATCACTTTGTTGCCGTTCATTCTCGTCCTATACCGCAGGGGGTAGCACACGGCCAAATATCTGTCATACGAGATGACGGCCAGAATCATAAACTCCGTCGCAGCGTAAGAGTGAACGAGGAAGATCTGCAGGAAGCAAAAAGAAACCGAAATGGTGTAGACGTCCCGGATAATCTCAAACAAAAGCATCGGAAACAAGGCGGTGCTGCCGAACAGCTCGTTCACGAAGAGACTGCAGAGGAAAATGTACATAGGCTCGTGGAGGGTTTTGTTCGAACATATGACGATGATGAGGAGCAGGTTGGAGAGCATCATTAGAACGTACACGGACAATATGACGACGAAGTACAGCCATTTCAAAGAGCCGGTGTCGTAGAAGGCTCCCAGGGTGAAATGGGAAACCTGACTGGAGTTCGCCATCGTCTTTCTTTTCGTAACAGGCATACGCTTTTTCCGACTTGTCTCAAAAAGGCTTAGAGTGTCACAGAAAACTGTTTCTCTATGTTCAGTGCGTACGCAAACAAAAAACTTTAAAGTGACTATTCACAATGAGAAAATTCAAGCAGTCAGTGAAGTGAAATACCTCAGCCTCATTCTAGACCAAAAGTTCAAATTTACAGTGTTGGGAAGGTGACTTTTAAAATGTAATCCCCTACAGATTACAGATTACATACCCCAAAATGTAGTTTGTAACGTAATCCATTAAATTACTTCAAGTGAGTAATGTAATCTGAATACTTTGGATTACTTGATTTGCTGTAGAGAAGCAAAGACGAGGAAATCTTCACATAAGATGTTTTATCTGCTAAAAGAAAATAAAAAGCCCAGACTTTACTGAACCAAATTAAAAATATTATTGATAGAAGAGGAGGAGACACGGTCCTGGTTTAGTCCTGTTAAATCCTGTTTTAGACCTGGTTTAGTCCTGGTTTTAGACCTGGTTTAGACCTGGTTTTAGACCTGGTTTAGACCTGGTTTTAGACCTGGTTTAGTCCTGGTTTAGACCTGGTTTTAGTCCTGGTTTAGACCTGGTTTTAGACCTGGTTTTAGACCTGGTTTTAGACCTGGTTTAGTCCTGGTTTAGACCTGGTTTAGTCCTGGTTTAGTCCTGGTTTAGACCTGGTTTTAGACCTTGTTTAGTGTCGGGCAATGAGTGGAATTACCAAGAAGAGAGAAAAAAAAGAAAAAAAAAGGGACACAGCCCAAAATGTGAAAACAGGAAAATACCACCATGTAATCCATTACTTTCAACAAAGTAACTGTAATCCAATTACCACTCACTGAAACAGTAACTGTAACTGAATACACTTACTGATAATTTGTACTCTGATTATGTAACTCTGGTACATGTAATCTGTTACTCCCCAACACAAAATACTTGGCAAAGAAGATTAAAACTAGTCTCAGTTCATAAGTAAAGATGTAACACTCCACACTTCTAAACTCTTCATGAACGTAATGATCTTCTCTCATTGATCTTATTGTATCACCTCATGGTCCCAGGCTCCTCAACCACACTCAAACCGCTTTGTTGATTTGACAAACTGACCCTGAATGTCCTTGACAAAAAACCCAAACACTGGCACCACTGTGAAATATTAAAGAAACATCAACTTTTTAACTTTGATCACTTTACCAATTTTAATAATCTTAAATTATTTTTGAAGTGTCTAACTGCGATACACCACTGTACTCAGAACTTGCCAGGACACAAGAGGAGCTACTCGTGGTAATTGTGTTGTTCCTATGTACAGGACGGCTCTTGGTCAGTCTTTCTCTTTTAAAGGGGACAGTCTGTGGAACGGTTTACCAGCTGATTTAAAATTGCAAACCAATAACAACAAATTTTATAAGGAAATCAAAATTATTTCCAATCAAAAATGCATCCAGTGAAAATGTACTGTATATATTTTATCTGTATGTAACTCATGTGTCTTGTATTCTCTGTTTTTATATGTGTAATTTATATTTTTATATGGACAGGTGTTGAAAACTACCACTTGTGCTAAAACACTCAAAGCAACGCATCTGTCTTGTCTAATGCCATTGTGATAAACAGAAATATAAACAATTCATTCACGCGGTTTACTCGTATAGAAAAACATTTGAGTGAATCTCGTTTGTTTCCGCTGGTTTTCAAAGAGAACAACAACGGATTTACAATAAAAGAACACTTCCGAGTCGAGTCTTTTACTTGAAACACGCATCAATTTGAATTCAGTTGCAGCAGCGTTGTTAAGATGAAGAGTTGATAAAAAAATTTACCAAAATGTGAAGGCTAATAACATAAAAATGAATAAATGACAATGACAAAAACCAGGTCTTCATCAAAACGAAAGAAGATCTGAGCTCAAATGTAAAGACGGACCAAAAATGTCTTAAGTGAAATTCTGAATCGTGAAAATATTAAAGCTAAACCGGCTGCATAGTCATCGAGGACGTTCTTCGATATTAATCAAACTCAATCAGTCCAGACGCCCCAACGCTTGTAACGCCGCCTCTCTGATCTCTAAATACCTCCTGGTGTTTTTCCCTTAAGGCCCACGCTGTGTTTTTGCTTTTGTTGAGCTATTTATAACTTTTTAAATCAATTTTTATACTCTCCAATCCAATCCAACTTTATTTGTGTAGCACATTTATAAACAAGACGGTTTCCAAAGTGCTGTGTAAAACTTTTAACTCTAAAAGGGCAGCAGAATGATGTTCTGAACAAATGGGACTAATAGAAACAATAGATAAATAATAATAATAAAACCACTGAATACAAATAATAAAATCGGTAAATAAAAGAGACTAAAAGTGGCTCGGGGCGGGTCCCAGACAAGGCTCTACTGTAACTCGGACTTTATTCCGTTCCATTTAAGGCCTACAGTCTGCATTTCAAAAACTAACACAACAAAAAAGGATTCAAGTTTCATTTCTGTATTAAGAATATGATACACAATACAAGGTAGACATAATAACCCATGTGTCGTTTGTTTTTCAAAATAAAACCAAAAATAAAAAAATGAAAAAACAACTGTTTTCTTCATTATTTGTTATTTGTTTAAATGAGTAATGGAAAAAAAACGGGTGACGGACGTTTTTTTCCTGCGATGCCGGACTTTTGCGTCTCACACTAAACCAGGACTAAACCAGGACTGAACCAGGACTGAACCAGGTCTAAAACAGGACTGAACCAGGACTGAACCAGGTCTAAACCAGGTCTAAACCAGTAAACCAGAATTGAACTAGACTACAAACCAGAACTGAAACCAGGAATGAAACCAGGACTAAACCAGGACTGAAACCAGGACTAAACCAGGACTGAACCAGGACTAAACCAGGACTGAACCAGGACTAAACCAGGACTCATCTTGGACTTGAGAGAGAAAATCCCAACCCTGTGGAGCAGGGTGTCCGCAAAGAATGATCAGGCGACGACTGCGCTTTGTCCCATGAGCGCTGAGCTCTGCACCGTCCTTTCACCTGTGGCCACCTGATGGTCTACCTCCGGGCCCGTCCCGACACTCAGTCCTGGTTCAGTTCTGCTCTAGTCCTGGTTTAGTCCTGTTTTAGTCTTGGTTTAGTCCTGGTTCAGTTCTGGTTCAGTCCTGGTTCGGTCCTGTTTTAGTCTTGGTTTAGTCCTGGTTCAGTTCTGGTTCAGTCCTGGTTCGGTCCTGTTTTAGTCTTGGTTTAGTCCTGGTTCAGTTCTGGTTCAGTCCTGTTTTAGACCTTAGTCCACAGAAACAGGATACGGCTGTTATCTATTATCCATTTTTTCCATTATTCATTTAAACACAAAATCCAAAACTGAAAAAACTGAATCGTTACCTGTTTTTTCATTTTGGATTTGGAGTCAAATAGTGAAGAAAAGTTTTTTCATTTTAAAATTTTTGGTTTTATTTTGAAAAACAAATCAACTAATGATACACAGATTCATGACGTACAATGCATTTCAGAAAATCAGAGTTGAGTTCAAAATAAACTAAAGAAAAAACAAATCTATGTAGGAGGATTCATTGTAAGTACTATTAACAAACGCAAAATATAAATAAAAATGAATGACAGTATTGCAGTAAATATATATTGAACTGAAATTGAAATTGTATTGACTGTAAAGATTCCTAAGCAGTTTATTTAAATGAGGGTAATTTATTTTTACAAACTTTACGTATCACTGAAGCCGTCTTACCGATGACTGAGAGCAGAATGCAGGAGATTCCTACAGAGCACTCGGATTTTGGGGAGTTTGAGTCCGTACATCAGTGGGTTAAAGAGCGGCTGAACTGCCAGAAAATACAGCGATAAAACCACTTTTAGCACTTTGTGGACGCTCTTGAGGTCGAACCTGCTCTGTAAGACTTCGAAACACACTCCAAAAGAGAAATTTACGATGGAGGCCAGGTGAGGAGCGCAGGTGCTGAGAGCTTTCTGCTGCGTCTGCTTGGAACCCCTGAAACAAACCTTTAAAATACGCAGATAAGTGAAGAAAATCACCCCTAAAGGACCCAGAACGATCACTGTGGTAATGATGAGTCCATATATGTTGTTGAGTTTCGTGTCAGAACAAGCCATTTTTACAATAAAGTAGTTATCGCAGTAGACTTTAGGAATGACGTTATCGCACAGTTTGAGCGGAATACTTAAAATAATAAGGAGAAGAATAGAAATGCATGGATAAGACCAGGAAAAGGCAACAAGAAGGAAGACTCTAGTGAAGTTCATGTGAGCGCTGTAGTGCAGAGGGAAGCAGATGGACTGGAAACGATCGTAAGACATGATGGCTAAAGTCAGAAACTCGATAGAAACATAGGAGTAGATGCAGAAGATCTGAACGAAGCAAAAGGAAGGTAAGACGGTGTGGACGTCTACGGGAATCTGATACAAGAGCAACGGGAACAACGCAGTGCTGCCGTAAAGCTCGTTCATAAACAAACTACAGAGAAAAATGTACATCGGTTCATGGAGAGTCCTGTTCAGACAGATGATCGTGATGAGGAGCAGGTTGGAAAGCACGATTAGAAAATACACAGACAATAGAATGACAAAATAGAGCCACCGCAGAGGCCCAGTGTCCACGTAGGCTCCCAGAGTGAAATAGGAAACGTGACTGGAGTTGACCATGGTCCTCCTTTTGGCAGACATAGATCTGGACCTGATCATCCAACCATTGAAGATTTATGATGAGGACACATCAGTGCAGCAGAAGACCCTCATGAAGTTATTCTTTAAAAGTTGTCAAATATCATTATAGTTTTTGTCTTCAGTTAAAGAAAGTACAAATACAAACAAACATAAAACAGATGTGCTATAGTCAGAATGTGTTGGCTCCTCTCTCTATATGTGCATATATATATACTCTATAACTCCCTGAACAGTGACGCCGGCCCACAGAGACTCAAACATTTCCTCATGTGTTCAACCACACCTTTATCAACTTTATTAGTCATTTTGTAGGATTCTTTGATACTCCTCTCGACATTCTACTAGATGTGTTCATGAATGTAGACGTCATTACTGTTGATTGGGATGATCCAAATGGAAAAAACCTCAATAGCGTCACATTGCAGTGTAACACAGCCCTCAAACTACTGCTCCAAGTCTTATTAACGGTACGATAGGTCTGTCAAAGTTGAGTAAAATGCACCGCTTCAAATCTACCCATATGGAAAAAAAAAAAAAAAAACTGGAAGAATTTACCACTGTCTTTGTAGTAAATCTTTATATAAGGTTCATATGTGTCATGTGGTTTACTCCTGAAAGTGTCTCCTTTTACATTTTTCTCAAACAACTATATTATGAAAAACTAGTAAAGATAAAGTGAACATTTTGCATGACATTTACAGGTAATGTGCATGATAAACTACATTTTCTTTGTATGTTCCATGTAATGTTTGTATTATTTAATTATATGTTGCAGTTAAAAAAACAAAACAAAATCAGAGTCAGAAGAGGGAATTTGAACCCAGGTCCCCCATGTGAAAGTCCAGTGACTCACCTGTTAAAATTACCCAACTGTTACTGGTGGTGAGAACTACAGCAGATGTTGAGGACAGTTACAAGTATCCTGGTATCCCACAAGTAAATGGCTCCTCGAAGAGGCAACAAGGAAAGGAGCTACAGGATTTTGCAGAGTAAAAATCTTTTTACAGCCTGATGTTTGTTCACTGTGACATCAGTGGAAGAGTGTGTGTCTTATGTGTTTTAAGGTCATAATATTTGTAATATTTGCATTACTGTGTTTACCCCCATGCCGCTCAACACACACACACACACACACACACACACAGACACACACACACACACACACACACACACACACACACACACACACACACACACACACACACACACACACACACACACACACAGACACACACACACACACACACACACACACACACACACACACACACACACACACACACACACACACACACACACACACACACACACACACACACACTGTGATCATTTTCTTTCTCACTCTCATACACACACAACACATCAATCAAGTTTAAGGAAACAATCATCATTTCACTTGTTTTTCTGTGATTCTGTGGTAAAAATGACCTTTGTCCAACACTTGTGAGGAGATTGTGTGTGGGATTAGTGTCATATTCAGCTCTTGCAGGTTACAAAGTTTTATATGTTTCATTCATATTTACCAAAGATCTTGTAACTGTTTTCACTGTCATATACAAATCTTTTAGGATTCAGATAAAACATGTTCAAATGGTTTATGATTTGTCTGTACCTTTTCCATATGGGGAGTTGTTTCAAAGGAGACAGATTATGTCAAATAGACTTTTATGAGCTTTTAACCACATGACAAGTTTCCCACATGATTAGATTACTCAGTTGTATTTCATTTGATTCTACTTTTCAACACTTACTGTTATAAAATAAAGACAAGTCTGCTGTTTGCTAAAGTGAAATTAAACTATGAACAGATTGTCTATGAGTTCTGCTGTTTTCAACTGAAAGTCAGTGGATCCATGTCTTTACTTAAGACATTTTATATTTTTTGGTTCATTTTCACTATAAACTGAAATAAATAAAGATCTACATTGTTTAATACTAAATACATAATGTCTTCTTCAAGTTCAACTACAGAGCAGATTTGAAACACTTTATATTTGCTTTAAAAGAAACCATAAAAATCATGTGTTGTAATGTGTTTTATTGATGCATCTAAAGCATTCATATCAATCACTGGAAATGAGTCAGAGATGCCTCAGTTTATAGTGAGAATTTTAGCCTATTACAGCCACCAGGTAAATGCAGGTGAAATGGAACAACAATGAGTCAGACTCGTTCAGTGTCAGTAACAGAGTCAAGCAAAGAGTTTCCTATTTTGTTTTGTTTGTATATGGAGGATTTGTCAAAAGAATTCAACAGGCTGTGTGACTGCATTTATTCAAGTGAACCACCTAATGTAGAACTAAGGATGATAAATATGTCAAGTTTGTATTGTGGTTATGCTTTGACTGTATGTTACAAATACAAATATTTGGGACATTAGATCACAGATGATGAGTCACATGATGAGGACATCGACAGACAGTGTGTCATGACGTGCACAGACTCACAGGCTCACGTGCAGGTTTGATGCCTGTACAGTGGAAGTGACACTTTAAAGTGTACTGTAGTGCATTATATACGGCACACCTGTGGTTAAAGTACTGAAAAGGCCGAGACGGGAAAGTGCGTGTAATCTGTCTGTGTCAGCAGGGATCAGAAGATTTCAGGCAAACACACTCTGTGTACTGCACAAGTTCATCTGTCACCTCAAAGACTGTGAACAGATTTATCATTATCAAACTTAGCTATAAGTGAGACCAGACATTAACACATCACATCTTCTTTGTATGTTCCATGTAATGTTTGTATTCTTTAATTATATGTTGCAGTTTAAAAAACTAAACCAAATCTTAGTCAGAAAAGGAATTTGAACCCAGGTCCCCCTTGTGAAAGTCCAGTGACTCACCTGTTAAACTACCCAGCTGTTACTAGTGGTGAGAACTACAGCAGATGTTGAGGACAGTTACAAGTATCCTGGTATCCCACAAGTAAATGGCTCCTTGGGATTAGTGTCATATTCAGCTCTTGCAGGTTACAAAGTTTTACATGTTTCATGCTGCACATATTTACCAAAGATCTTGTAACTGTTTTCACTGTCATATACAAATCTTTTAGGATTCAGATAAAACATGTTCAAATGGTGTATGATTTGTCTATATCTTTTCCATATGGAGAAATACCCATGTGGAAAAGGTATAGACAAATCATCCCACAATCCCACACACAATCTCCTCACAAGTGTTGGACAAAGATCATTTTTACCACAGAATCATTGAAAAACAAGTGAAATGATGATTGTTTCCTTAAACTCGATTGCTGTGTTGTGTGTGTATGAGAGTGAGAAAGAAAATGATCACAGTGTGTGTGTGTGTGTGTGTGTGTGTGTGTGTGTGTGTGTGTGTGCGTGTGTGTGTTGGGCGGCATGGGGGTAAACACAGTAATGCAAATATTACAAATATTACAACCTTAAAACACATAAGACACACACTCTTCCACTGATGTCACAGTGAACAAACATCAGGCTGTAAAAAGATTTTTACTCGGCAAAATCCTGTAGCTCCTTTCCTTGTTGCCTCTTTGAGGAGCCATTTACTTGTGGGATACCAGGATACTAACTTGTAACTGTCTCAACATCTGCTGTAGTTCTCAGTCAACTAGTAACAGTTGGGTAATTTAACAGGTGAGTCACTGGACTTTCACATGGGGGACCTGGGTTCAAATTCCTCTTCTGACTCAGATTTTGTTTTGTTTTTTTAACTACAACATATAATTAAAGAATACAAACATTACATGGAACATACAAAGAAAATGTAGTTTATCATGCACATTACCTGTAAATGTCATGCAAAATGTTCACTTTATCTTTACTAGTTTTTCATAATATAGTTGTATGAGAAAAATGTAAAAGGAGCCACTTTCAGGAGTAAACCACATGACACATATGAACCTTATATAAAGATTTACTACAAAGACAGTGGTAAATTCTTATATTTTTTTTCCAGTTTTTTTTCCCATATGGGTAGATTTGAAGCGGTGCATTTTACTCAACTTTGACAGACCTATCGTACCTTTAATAAGACTTGGAGCAGTAGTTTGAGGGCTGTGTTACACTGCAATGTGACGCTATTGAGGTAAAAAAAAACAAACAAAAAAAAAAACACCTGGGCCATGATTTGGAAACCCTGGAGTGAGAGTTAAATATGTTCTTTCTCCTTTTGAGGTCTGAAATTTGTCATTTGAAATCAAAGTGGTAATGAAGTGGTAGACCGTAGCTTATGAATGAACACGAGAGTGGAGCGGTTGGTGGTATAGTTCACAGATACAGAACCACAAAAGTTCATATGCGACCAGTGTTGGGAAGGTGACTTTTAAAATGTAATCCCCTACAGATTACAGATTACATACCCCAAAATGTAGTTTGTAACGTAATCCATTAAATTACTTAAAGTGAGTAATGTAATCTGAATACTTTGGATTACTCGATTCGCTGTAGAGAAGCAAAGACGAGGAAATCTTCACATAATATGTTTTGTCTGACAATGAAAAGCCCAGACTTTACTGAACCAAATAAACATATTATTGATAGAAGAAGAGACACGTTAAATCCTGTTTTAGTCCGAGTTTAGTCCTGATTTAGTCCTGGTCTAGATCTGGTTTAGCCCTGGTTTAGTCCTGTGGTTTAGTTCTGGTTTAGTCCTGGTGTTAGACCTGGTTTAGTCCTGGTGGTTTAGTCTGGTTTTAGTCCTGGTTTAGTCCTGGTGTTTAGTCCTGGTTTAGTCCTGGTTTAGACCTGGTTTAGTCCTGGTGGTTTAGTCCTGGTTTAGTCCTGGTTTAGACCTGGTTTAGTCCTGGTTTAGACCTGGTGTAGTGTCCGGCAATAAGTGGAATTACCAAACAGAAAAAAAAAAAAAAAAAAAAAAAGGGAATAGCCCAAAATGTGAAAACAGGAAAATACCGCCATGTAATCCATTTATTTCAACAAAGTAACTGTAATCCAATTACCACTCACTGAAACAGTAACTGTAACTGAATACAGTTACTCATAATTTGTACTCTGATTACGTAACTCCGGTACATGTAATCTGTTACTCCCCAACACTGTATGCGACAAAATAAATGACATGTTTACTCTGACAGGTGTATGTCACTACAGAAACGTTAAATAAGCAATGATCTGAACTTTCCCGATGAAGTCATTTTGTGCGTCTGAGCGTGTTTCTGCACAGCACTCGGACTTTGGTGAGCTTGAGTCCGTACATGGCAGGGTTAAATAACGGCTGAAGGGCCAAAAAATACACCGACAACAGTATACGCATGAGTTTGGGCACGTTGGTCATGTCGAACCTGCTCTGAACGACCTCAAAAAGCATCCCAAAACATAAATTTATAACGGAGGCGATGTGAGGCGTGCACGTGCTCAGGGCCTTCTGCCGGGCCTGCTTGGATCCGTTAAAACACACCCGCAGAATACAAATGTACGAGAATAAAATCACGCTCAGGGGACAGAAAACGGTCACGAACAGATTCGCCAAACCTAAGATGTTATGGACGACGGTTTTACCACACGCCAGCTGCACGATGTAGAAGTTATTACAGTACACCGTCGGGATCGCGTTTCCGCATAAGTCTAAAGACGCGGCCAAAATCTGCACGGTGATGATGGCGCACAGCGGGTACAGCCACGACACGAAGATGAGGCCGGAGATCTTGCACGTGTTCATGCGCACGTTGTACTGGAGGGGGAAGCATATGGCTAAATACCTGTCGTACGCCATGGCGCTCAGGGTGAACATCTCCGTAGAGGCGTACACGTAGAGACAAAAAATCTGAAGGAAGCAAAACGTATACGAGACCGTGTGCACGTCCTGAAGCATTTGAACCAAAAGGAACGGAAATAAACCAGCGCTGCCCCAAAGCTCATTCACAAACAAACTGCAGAGGAAAATGTACATAGGTTCGTGCAGGGTCCTGTTCAAACATATGACAACTATAAGCAGCAGGTTGGAAAACAGTATAGAGGCATAAACACACAATATGATGAGAAAATACAGCCATCTCAGAGAACCGGTGTCAAAGTAGGCTCCCAGGGTGAAATGGGAAACCTGACTGGAGTTGACCATGGCTCTCCTTTTGGTTTGTGAACAGCGGCTCATGTCCTCAAAAGCAGAGAGCGGCAGAGCGGAGTGAAGAGAGCCCCCGCAGCCGGCTCTGACGCAAGACGCCGACGACCGGGCGTTTTAACCTCTCCGTGCGACTCCCAGGAGGGGCGGAGAGAGGCCGGGGCAGCTACGTCAGCGTAAGTGTTGTGTTACTGAACAAACGGGAAATCTTTGGGGATCATTTCAACGATAAAATATACAATAAATAAATAAAGTCACGTTTTTATTTCTTTACATTTATGCAGCGCTTTTCTACGTTCACTCAAAGCGCAGATACATCAAGAAACCACTCACGTAAATATTAGAGGTGTAATGGTACACAAAAATCACGGTTCGGTACGTACCTTGATTTTGAGGTTACGGTTCGGTTCATTTTTGGTTCAGTATGGGAACAAAATGCAAAACCATTTTCTTGTTGTTTATTTGTGTTTTTATTAAACTAACAATTTATTTTAACATTATACAAACGGGAAAATAAAATAAATGCAAAGTGTTGCTCGTAAGTTAAATTATATATCCTTAAATAAGCAACAAATACATGAAATATTATAAAAAATATTATAAAATGATTTAATGTTTTTTTTGTTTTTTTTTTACAAAACAAAGCAGTTTCCAAAGTGCTGCACAGAGACCATAAAACAAAAACAACAAAAAGGTAAAATACAAAAATTTGGTCATACCAGTCCTAAAACAGTAAAACCATTCAAATCAAATAAAAGCAAGACCATAAAAATCATAAAATAGCAGTTTGCAAGTTTATAATTTAACATTTGGCGTTGTTATAATGTCACCGATAATGATACCTTTGATTTATCAGGCACCTGGACACTCAAGGCCTTACAACAATAAACACATACATATAAATATTAAGTAAGAATATACATGTCCCAAATTTTTACTACTGTATTTTCTGGACTATACGTCGCTTCAGAATATAAGTCACAGCAGCCAAAAAATATGTAATGAAGAAGAAAAAAACATATATAAGTCACACCAAATTATAAGTCGCACTTTTTAAATAATATAAATAATAAATATATATTATATTTATATATTAATATAAATTCATATAAAATCAGAGATCAGGAACCAACATTTCACATTAAAAGTCAAGTTCTAGTAATAACAACAGAACAGAGAACATCAGGCCAAAACAGGCCAAACTCTTCATCTCACTCAAATCAAACAAATCACTAAATCCATTCAATTCTTCATCCTCGGTGTCACTTCTGAGCAACTCCACGACCTCCGGCGGTAAACAGAGCGCCGCTTCCTCTTCTGTGTCGCTGTCGTCAGACTCAGCATCAGCTCCAGTTAGAATTATTTCCGGTCTTTCTGAATCCCGACAGGATGGTTTCAGTGTCACTGAAGTCACTTAAATGTTTAATTTTCAGTGGTACAGAAATAATTGGTGATCGACTGACATGATACAGACAGAACAGAGGCTCTTTCTACAGGAGACATGCACAATAGAGCCAAGTGACAGTGGTACAGGAGGAACAGGAGCAGCAGATACTCACACACAAGACTAGAACCTCTCTTGTGGCTGTCAGTGTGAACAATTCAATACATAAGTTGCACTGGAGTATAAGTCACAGCACCACCCAAACCATGAAAAAAAGTGCAATTTATAATCCAAAAAACACAGTATCTGCCAGAAAAAAATTGTGCAGATTAATTTGTCACTTTAATAACTCTGAACATTGTTATCATGAGCCTCACTCATGTCACACTCAGCTCAGTCTGATCTATGGAGACACTGGTCCAGCTGTTAATACTGGACTACACATCTGTAAGAATCATGTTCACCCTCTCCAGGCAGGCGTTGCAGATTTGCAACAGCTAAATTACCTACTTACTCCACATCCATATTTTTTATTCAGGAGTCTTTTCTCCCATCCATGCTGATAAACATGGACGGTGCAGACTGTGCAAGAACGGCTACAAAGTGCAAAGTACTTTTGTTGTTTACAAAGGATAAACATTGTTTCTTGGAGAACCACATGAAAAAGTGATGTTGTTGTGCCACTGTAAATCTGTTACACTGTGCTTTATGTTTTTACAGTTATGAAAAGTGGTTTACACATAAAGTTAGTGTTCAAATCATTTTCAGTCTTCAGTGTTAATTTACCACACCGGACCAATGTTGCAAATCTGCAACATCCCAGAACACACTGGATGTGAAGGTCTCTTTCAAAAAAAAGTCAGGATTGTATATTACTACCCCATATGATCATTTTCCCCAAATATCAGATTTTTCCTGATACAAAAAATTAATTTGAGCCTGAGAGGGATAATGATGATGTCTATTTAAAAGGAACAAATTCTCCACCACACAACAGCACAAACACAAGTTCAATCAGAACTAAAGTTGTAAACATGTTTATTCTTCACTCCTCAAGGGGGCCCCAGAGTCCTGGTGCATGGTGATTGGCCCCTCTTCACACTGACCTCATGGTTTAGAGCTGAGAAGAAGTATAACTGTACAAGGCTGGCCCTCAGTCACAACTATTTTCAGAAATATTGTGAACCTTTATTTGTGTGTGCATGTTTTGATGATCTCCTGGTTTCTGCGGGTCTTTTTTAGTCAAATCCTGGTTTTGCTCAGGAGGAAATCTGATCACTACATCAAATTTTGCCGTTACCTTTCAATAAAGATCCAGTGTGTGGTGTGTGTTTAAAGACAGCCGGTATTGTTTTACATGGACCAGGCGGTGAAATCGTACCATGCCTAACCAAACTCACGTCTCATACTTTATTCTCACAGGATATTTTAACGTGTCTCAGCTGAGGTATCTGATTTTCGTCTTTCTGGGCTCCTTGTACGCAGTGATCCTTTTCGCAAACATTTTACTCGTCGTGCTGATCAGCCTGAACAGAACCCTGCACGAGCCCATGTTTGTTTTCCTCTGCAGCCTTTTCCTGAACGAGATTTACGGCAGCACGTCTCTCTTTCCGTTCCTCCTCTTCCACATGCTCAAAGACGTCCACACCGTTCCTCATTCGCTCTGCTTCCTGCAAATCTTCTGCTTATATTCCTACGCCACGGTCGAATTCTTCACCCTGGCCGTGATGTCGTACGACCGCTACGTGGCCGTGTGCTTCCCGCTGCAGTACCACGTCCGGATGAACACGCGAAAGGTCCTGGTCCTCGTCGTTGTCTGCTGGACCTGTCCCTGTGGTCATCAACATCGTTCCCATCACTCTCTCCGCTCCGTTAAAACTCTGCGGAAACATTATCCCGAAAGTCTACTGCGATAACTACTTTATTGTGAGGATGGCGTGTTCAGATACCAGAGTGAACAATATCTACGGAATAATCGCCACTCTCCTAACTGTCTTTGTGCCGCTGACTTTCATTTTATTCACGTATTTACGCATTCTGGTCGCGTGCTTTTACGCGTCTCCGCAGACTAAGCAGAAGGCTCTCAGCACCTGCATGCCCCACTTTGTTTCTCTGGTTAACTTTTCCTTCGGAGTGTGCTTTGAGATACTTCAGAGCAGGTTTAATTTGAGTTTTATACCAAACGGGTTCAGAGTTTTGTTGTCGTTGTACTGGCTCGTATCTCCGTCCATTCTGAACCCGTTCATGTACGGACTGAACAACTCCAAAGTCAAGACCGGCTGCCGAAACCTGTTTGGAAAAGCGCAGCAGCAAGCGTGACCTTTTCACCTTCTCGATTAGATGTGGATTCACTGTGAACGACCTTTTCTTGAACAAAAATCCTTCCTTATACTTCGAATTAAACGTTTAATTCAAACAACATAAAACTGTACTGATCCAAGTGTAATATGTGCATAATGCAGTACTGTACCATATTTGTACAATGTAGAGAAGTGTGATAAACTAGATATATTTTTGGGGGGGTTGGAGTTTACAGGGTAGAACGGCCCACCCCACATGGAAAAGGTACAGACAAATCATACACCATTTGAACATGTTTTATCTGAATCCTAAAAGATTTGTATATGACAGTGAAAACACTTACAAGATCTTTGGTAAATATGTGCAGCATGAAACATGTAAAACTTTGTAACCTGCAAGAGCTGAATATGACACTAATCCCACACACAATCTCCTCACAAGTGTTGGACAAAGATCATTTTTACCACAGAATCACAGAAAAACAAGTGAAATGATGATTGTTTCCTTAAACTTGATTGCTGTGTTGTGTGTGTATGAGAGTGAGAAAGAAAATGATCACAGTGTGTGTGTGTGTGTGTGTGTGTGTGTGTGTGTGTGTGTGTGTGTGTTGGGCGGCATGGGGGTAAACACAGTAATACAAATATTACAAATATTACAACCTTAAAACACATAAGACACACACTCTTCCACTGATGTCACAGTGAACAAACATCAGGCTGTAAAAAGATTTTTACTCTGCAAAATCCTGTAGCTCCTTTCCTTGTTGCCTCTTCGAGGAGCCATTTACTTGTGGGATACCAGGATACTTGTAACTGTCCTCAACATCTGCTGTAGTTCTCACCACTAGTAACAGTTGGGTAGTTTAACAGGTGAGTCACTGGACTTTCACATGGGGGACCTGGGTTCAAATCGTCCTTTTGACTAAGATTTTGTTTTTTTAACTGCAACATATAATTAAAGAATACAAACATTACATGGAACATACAAAGAAAATGTAGTTGATCATGCACATTACCTGTAAATGTCATGCAAAATGTTCACTTTATCTTTACTAGTTTTTCATAATATAGTTGTATGAGAAAAATGTAAAAGGAGCCACTTTCAGGAGTAAACCACATGACACATATTAACCTTATATAAAGATTTACTACAAAGACAGTGGTAATTCAATTCTTATATTTTTTCCCCCATTTTTTTCCATATGGGACATCTCTGACTACAATTTCACAGAACTGAATAATTGCATCTGATTTTTGTTGTGTTTAAAAGTATAAAATAAATGCATTCATTAAAACACTTGGTGTCGTGTGTCAGTTAATCAATGGATTTTTTGACTAACAGTTGTATTTGGAAGACAAAGTATGAATGAATTTTTAAATAACTCTTTTGACATTTTTTTTTTTTTTTTTTTTTTTTCATTTTGTTTATCCTTCATTGTGTACTTTTCTTGTGAAAACCTGCACATGTGACATTTCAAGCGTCAGCCAAATGATCAGATTTGTGGTGTGCTTTTAAACATAATCACTGCTTTTTTATTCTGCAAATCAGATTTTATTACAAACGCTTGTGAACTGAAGCAAGTGTGACCTCCTGTTGAAGAAATGTTTATTAAATTAAATGTTAGTGTCTCTAATATACATTGGTTATGCATTTGTACTTTTATAGTTAAAGCTTAAACGATGGCATGACAGAACCCGCTGTTTTATTGTCTTTTTTTACAGTTGAATCTGTCTTTTTTGCATTTAATTGGAAAACTGTGTTTTACAAGATCAATGTTAAACCAAATTCCTTGTGGCTCCATGTGATTTGTGATAAAGGTCAGTAAATCTACTGTAAATGCAGTTTAACGCCGCGAGGGATTTAAAAATATAAATTTGAACTATTCCTGCTTTTCTGAACCTTTATATTCATGACTATTATACAGTTAACACATGTGTACTTAACTGTATTTTATTCTTCTATATGCTCTGTAAAGACAAAATCACATATACTCAAATAATTTTTTACCCATTTTACTTAGTTGGAAACACAATAGTAAATTCAGCGTTTACATTTGTGGTGTGTATTAATCACAGTAAAAGAAACGGTAACAAGCTTTTCAGAGTCAATGTTGAGCTTGAATGATTTAATAATACAGTGAGGGAAGATCTCACACGGGGGACGTTTGTCTCGGGTACGTGGTGCTGCATCATTGACATTCAAACATAAGACATAAAAAAACACAGTTAAAGCCTGAACATGAACTGAAGAAGCAGTTAGTATGAGCTGCAAAATGTATGTGATCAAAAAACTTTTGTCCAGCTGACAAATTGAATTTCTCTTTTGTTATAAAAACACAGTTAAAACTACTACTGTAACAATTTAAATACAAAATGCAATGTCTTAAAAAAGAGAAGCACAAACATTTCTCCCTATGAAGTACCTTTAATAAATCTTTATAGACTTGTTAAAGTCTGTTTTGCATATTGGGCGTCATTTAATAACATAACAATGAGCAATCAACAATTACAGGAAAAGAACATAAGCAGAATTACTTAGCCAGAAGAGAACAATTATCATTGAAGGCGGTGGTGTTTGTCACGATATTTGAAATCCAAGGCCACAAAGTAAACTTATGTTTGTTTTTATCATGGACAGAATCACTTTATTTACAGAAACTCTTAAAAAATATACTTTTTTGTGGACCTGCATGTGGAAAGACGTATTAAATCCCTGCTAAATGGAGACGAGTCTTGTTGGATGTTATTCCTGTTTGTTCTCTGGTGCATTGCTCGGTGACGTGGCACTTCTGAGCTTCAGCTTTAAATCCCTCAGTGTTGGTCGTCAGGTGCACACACTTCTCCTGAGTCCTGTCTGTCAGAGCGTTACCTCCTCCTACTCTGAGATTTCAAACCACAGATCTCAAGCACACGGGAGCAGATTTTTGAAATAGTTTTTTCAATGACTGTTTACATTTTGTTTTTGAACTGTTTACTTAAAGGGATTTCAATTTATTTACATTGGATCTTGTGTTATTAGCTGTTGATCTGATACTGAGAAATGAAATGCTTTATTAAAAAGTCAGATAGACAAAATCCAAACATTATTCACTGTATTTATAAGTGCATTTTACTTGTGATGCATATAGTGATTTTGTATTTGATTTTTCCTCATGTGTTTTTAAGCGTGCGTTCACACTTTGCAGGTTTGGTCCTGGTTTAGATTCAGTTTGAGTCCTGATTTAGATTTGGTTCCGTTCTGCTCTAGTCCTGGTTTAGTCCTGCTCTAATCCTGGTTCTGGTTTAATCCTAGTTTAATCTGGGTTTAATTCCGGGGTGAGTCTCTGTTTAGTCTCATTTTAGAAGCGCTGATTGTGCAAGTGTGAACACAACATAACATACCCTTTTCACATTTGACAGTGTGATTTCTAAAAGACATTGTTTAACTAAAGATACTATGTTTGTGGAAAGGTTTGCTCTTTGAATATACACTTTGACATGGTTTACTCTGGGTTAAATACTACAACTTTGCTAAAATGCTTTTATTCTGGAATTGTACTTTTATTTTCTTTAATATAACAATTTCAGCGGCTTCAGTTGATTGATTCCTTGTTTGGTGAGTAAAGTAAGGCATGTTTAAAGCTGACAAAAGTCACGGAAAACACTGTCGGCACTTGTTGACTGCATTTTTACTGCGTTGTGTTTTTAATCCTTGGTTATCTTATTCTTATTAAACACTAAAATTGTGGGTAGTACTCAGTTGCGTTTACTTTTAGAAGAATTTGTGCTTTTCAGGATACTTTTCTGACACCTTTTTCCACATTTACTTATGTTTGAGTCATTTTGTCGGAAGTAGAAATCATTTTACTTGATCTTATTAGGTACATGTACACTCTTCTTCCCTACAAATAACAAAAACTTTACATGAACATCGATGATCCAAACATTTGCGCTTTGAACATCTTTTCCTCAAATGAATTTTGTGTGCCTACTCTTTGGAAAATACCAGAATCTGTGCATTTTTTCATGTTTAATATTTAGTTTTTCTGTCCGAATCGATTAACTCGTACAACATAAATCAGATTTTAAACACATTTCATTTCCAAATACTTTTTTACTCTTACTTATTATTATTATTCTTATATTCTTATTACTGTGGTCACTACTTTTACTACTACTTTCTAGTACTTTGGATACTGAGCGTGTACCATGAACTACACTCCGGTCATTCACTTCGTCCTAGGCGCGTACATCGATATTGGACCTTTAAAATACTTGAGCTTCGTGGTTTTACTGCTCATGTACTGCGCTATTATCTTGTTCAACATCGTCCTCATCGTCGTCATATGTCTGAACCGAAACCTTCACGAACCGATGTTTATTTTCCTCTGCAGTTTGCTTTTTAACGAACTGTACGGCAGCGCTGCCATTTTCCCCTTGCTCCTCGTCCAGATCTTTCAAGACGTCCACGTAGTTTCGTACACGCTGTGCTTGCTGCAGATATTCATCCTGTATTCGTACGGCGGGATCGAGTTCGCGACGCTCGCTGTCATGTCGTACGACCGTTACCTGGCTATCTGTCACCCGCTTCAGTACGCTTCCAGGATGACGCCCAATAAAATAGCGGGTCTCACGGCTCTGACTTGGTGCTACCCGATTATGATGAATTTGTTTATTACTTACGCTCTCACGGCTCCGCTCACCCTCTGCGGGAACGTCATCCACAAAGTTTACTGTGATAACTACTGGGTGGTCAGACTGAGCTGCTTCGATACACGACTCAATAACGTCTTCGGGCTCACGCACATGTTTTCCGTCATCTTGAGTCTCATTTTACTCATCATCTACACGTACATCCGGATCTTGCGCGTGTGTTTCAACGGGTCCAGGCAGACTCGACAGAAAGCGCTGAGCACGTGCACGCCTCACCTCCTCTCCATCATCAACTTCTCCTTCGGGGCCTTCTTCGAGATAGTGCAGAGCCGCTTCAACATGCAAGCCGTGCCCAACCCCGTGCGAGTGTTCCTGTCGCTGTACTGGCTCACCGTGCAGCCCCTCGCCAACCCCCTCGTCTACGGACTCAAGATGACCAAGATCCGACTGGTCCTCAGAGCGCTGCTTTTTGGAAAGTGAACCAGCAACTTTAGCAAATCAAAATGTATATGTTTTTATCATTTGTAAATATGCACATGTAAAATAACTGTTAAAAATTACATAAATACAACCTTACAAACTTGTCAATGTAATTCATGCTTCTTTGTCATAGCCCAAAAAATTTCTCTCATCCAGTGATCCAATGAATCTTTTCTTTTTCTCTCCTCTTAAAGTAAAAGTGTCTTTCAATTTAAGAATTTGTCACTGGAAAATCAAATGAATGACATGAGCCTGTTTCTGTTTTTGACAACATTCAGTATCTTAAAGAGAAAATGTGTAACTAAAAGTGACCACTGTTCTTTTGGGGCACTAAGACAAAATAGTCCCGACCAATATTTGCCATTTTATTTTAATAAACAAAAATAGACATTTATTCTGATATTTTTCCAAACTCAATAGTATTAACTGAACATGCTTTAGTTCGCATTTTGTTTATTAGATTATTCTGAGATGTATTCAATGATATGACAACAGGGTTACACCTGCCGCTTTTTCATTGGCTGTAACAGAGTGATGTCATTAGTGGAGCCAGGAGCCTAAACTGGGAAGCGGCAGGACAGGGCCGCACCTGAAGATGTCGGTTTGAGCAGCGTGAGTGAAGACGCTGCACCTAACTTTGACATTTTTTTTTAAAGGAACTGACTTGGTTTCATCTTCAATTAAACTTGTCTTATAATGAGTCGCTGCGGAAAAAGAGCAACTATCAGCACAACTGCACCTCCCAAACGGAGCCCTACTCGTGCGCTGTGAGACCCCGACTCTACTTGACAATATTCCATGGAAAAATGTACGGACATGACCTCACAAATATATCATCACCAACAAGCAAAGAGAAACCTGCTACAAACTTCTACATCACTGTTATCCACTAAGAACAATGGAGACAAACTGAAAAATGAAACCACCTCTCACTTATTTTGGACCTGCCCAGACTCTGTGTTTTTGGAAACAATTCATTAAACATATACATGTAACTTCATATCCCATTTGACCCTTTCTTATAAAGATGTGTTGTTTGTTTTTTGCAGTCTGCATCATACCAAAAGTAAACTATATTATATAATGAATCTGTTAATCAAGTAACCTATCAGTTGGTTTCATGGGGGGGACCAAACCTACGCCTTTGGTAACAGGTACCTTCCATTCTGAACCCATTCATGTACGGACTAAACAACTCCAGAGTCCAGACCAGCTGCCAAAACCTGTTTGGAAAAGTGCAGCTACAAGCGTGACCTTCTCAGATGATTCACTGTAAATGACTTTTTCTTGAACAAACATCCTTCCTTATACATAGAATCAAACTTGTCATTTCAAACAAAATAAAACTGTGCTGATGCAAGTGTAACCTGTTCATAATGCAGTACTGTACCACATTTGTACACTATAGAGAAGTGTGAGAAACTAGCTCTGTTTTGGGCTTTGAGTTTACGGGGTCACCTAGTGCCTCTGCTCAATTTCATTTCTCTCCAGTGACTAGGTCCGGAATCAGAAAAACACTAGACAGTTTGCAAGAACCCCAGAAGTTGTAGACTGCGCATCGACCAATCAGCTGTGAGCTGTGAAGCCATGACGACAAACTCAAGCTCCTGTCTGTGTCTCTTTTGTGGTACAGCAAAAAAGTAAACAAAGCGTTGAGATGGATGTAGACAAAGACAGACATTCTGTGTTGGCAACGATTCCTAAGATTGAGGATTTAAAGCCGGAACAAAGAGAATGTTTGGTGAATTTTATCAAGGGGAAAGACGTTATTGTCCTTCTTCCTACAGGATTTGGGAAAAGCTTAATATACCAGTTAACCCCGTTAGCAGCGCATTACATATGTCAAGACCAAATAGCAGCGATTGGTTAAATTAAAAAGTACCTGCCTATCGTTGAGCGAATGAATCCTAATGCTGCGAGGTCAGACGTTTTTCATGAACTGAAACTGGCTGATGAATCAGACTAGGAACGACCCACATCAGTGGCTACATTTTCATATAATTAGAATAATCAGTAATAAAACGGAATAATTACATGTAAAATAACAGTTAAAAAAAAAAAATATATATATATATATATATATATATATATATATATATATATATATATATATATATATATATATATAGCCTGTCCAAAGCTTGTCAATATAGTTCATGCTTCTTTTCATAGAACCAAAAATTCTCCCTTCTCTTTTCTCTTCTTAAAGTAAAAGTCTCTTTCAGTGCTTTTAATTTAAGAATTTGTCATTCAGTTCAAATGTATAACTCGTGTTTGTGGCGTTAGACTACTAACTAAATGCATCTTTGTTACATAGATCATTTTTCAAACTCTTTTTACTCTAATCATGCCCAACTGTACCATTTTTCTTGCCCAAATTTCTGCCCCCAACCTTACTGTGATGAGACCATTTCCCGTATTCTCTTTTCCTACATTTGGGTAACATTTTTTTCACTACATTCACAACTGCGAGTCTTATTTATTTATCTTTTTTTAACTAGGATATATGGGTCATTGCACACCACATCTCCGAATGCCCCCACTCAACCATCTCAGATTTGACTGAAAAAATTCTAGGAGGTTCACACACTAAAGTCCCAAATGTTAGCTCCCAACTCCTTATAGTATTCTCATAAAAAAAAATTCAAACCCCCAGAAATCTGTGATAAACCAAAAGCACATTTGTAAAAGTCCAGATTCTACAAGGACATTTGCCAAATTTTAACCCTTGAAAATTTGAAGGACTGACCTTAAATAGTTTTTTGGATACAACAATCTGAAAGTGGCTCCTTGGAAAACTCTGCTCAAAACAGGTCAGGGCAGAGTTGACAAAATATTTTTTAATGACAAAACTATAAGGAGTTGGGAGCTAAAATTTGGGGACATTTGGAGATTTGGTGTGGAATGACCCTTATAAAGATTATGAAAAGATAATGACGACTTTCAAAGCATCCAGCAAACTTTTTTTTACGACTGAATATATTAAAAGTCCTTTATTACATGAAGGGACGCCAACGTATTTCGAACAGCAAGATGGTCTTTGTAAGGGCAGATTCTACAAGTACATTTGCCAAATTTTAACCCTTGAAAATTTGAAGGACTGACCATAAATAGTTTTTTTAGATACAGCAATCTGAAAGTGGCTCCTTGAAAAACTCTGCTCAAAACAGGTCAGGGGGGAGTTGACAAAATGTTTTTAATGACAAAACTATAAGTCGCTGGGAGCTTAAATTTGGGACTTGGGAATTTTTTCAGTTAAATCTGAGATGGTCGAGCGCGGGCATTTGAAGATTTGGTGTGGAATGACCCTTATATGCACATAAAGATAATGACGACTTTCAAAGCATCCAGCAAACTTTTTTACTATTTGATTGATTATGAAATCAAATGATGAAATAAACATTTGTACATTGAATTGAATTATATTGTAAAATGCCCAGATGAAGTAAACCTGCATCTCAGCTTAAACAGTTCCAAATTAGAAAACAAGTTTAAAAGTACATTTGCCAAATTTTAACCCTTGAAAATTTGAAGGACTGACCATACATTTTTAGATACAACAATCTGAAAGTGGCTCCTTGAAAAACTCTGCTCAAAACAGGTCAGGGCAGAGTTGACCAAATATTTTTTAATGACAAAACTATAAGGAGTTGGGAGCTAAAATTTGGGGACATTTGGAGATTTGGTGTGGAATGACCCTTATAAAGATTATGAAAAGATAATGACGACTTTCAAAGCATCCAGAAAACTTTTTTTTACTATTTGATTTATTTAATCTTGTGTAATCAAATGATGAAATAAACATTTGTACATTGAATTGAATTATATTGTAAAATGCCCAGACGAAGTAAACCTGCATCTCAGCTTAAACATTTCCAAATTAGAAAACAAGTTTACCCAAAAGCGTCTTTCTACACGAGCTCCGTATCTTGGACATTTTCAGTCCGTACATCACAGGGTTAAACAGCGGCTGCACGGTTAAAAAGTACAAAGACAGTATAATTCGGAGCAGATTTGGGACAGAACTCATATTAAACCTGCTCTGAATGATTTCAAAACTGACCCCAAAAGAGAAATTAAGCAGCGAGGCGAGGTGAGGCGTGCAGGTGGTGATGGCTTTCTGCTGCGTCTGCTTCGAGCCCCGGAAACACACTTTAAAAATACGAAAATACGTAAAAAGAATCAGACTTGATGGCAACACGGTGATGAGGAACAACTGGATGAGCCCGTATATATTGTTAACGGTGGTGTCAAAACAGGCCAGCTTGACGACAGAGTAGTTATCGCAGTACACTTTGTTTATAACATTTCCACACAAAGGTAAAGGCGCGCTGAGAGAAATCAAAATCAAGATCGCTAAAAATAACAAGAGCCACGTCAAAGCAATGAGGATGAAAACTTTAGCGTGGGTCATGTTTGAATGGTACTGCAGAGGGAAGCAAATCGCCAAATATCGGTCGTACGACATGACGGCCAACGTGAGAAACTCTACGTGTCCGTAAGAAAAGATACAGAAGATTTGAAGGAAGCAAAACGGAGCTGGAATCGTGTGGAGATCTTTGAGAATCTGAAGCAGGAGAAACGGGAACAAAGCCGTGCTGCCGTAAAGTTCGTTCACAAATAAACTACAGAGAAACAAGTACATGGGCTCGTGCAGAGTCCTGTTCAGACAGATGACGACGATGAGGAGCAGGTTGGAAAGAACGATCAGAACATACACGGCCAATATAATGACAAAATACAACCATTTCAGAGGCCCGGTGTCGAAGTAGGCTCCAAGGGTGAAATGGGAAACCTGACTGAAATTAGCCATAGTTGGTCTTTTGGTTTGAAAATTCACCATTAAGTTTTGCTTGAGGAGACTATAATAAATTAAGTTAAGCGGGGACTAAAGTAAGAACAACATCAGCACAAAATGACGAGAAAAAAGTCGTACAACTACACCACACAACAGGACTTTTACGGGAATAAGCATAAACCAAAATTTTAGCAACCTGTGTGTACATCAAATACCCACATTTACATGATACTTAATCATTTACATAATTAAAAACACACATTTCACTTTACAAACAGCTTCAACTGTAAAATGAGCTCTAAAAAGTTAGTTTTCAAGAATAAACCAGAAGGATTTTGTACTTCTAGCTATTGTGTGTTTTTCTGACTTTGTTCCTGGACTTGCTACATAAATAACTGAAGACAATGACATTCAATCAAATCACATTCAACAGTTAAAATTCTATATTTAAAGATTGTCACAGGAAAAATTATTGCCAAAAATGTCAAAAAATAAATAAATCTGGGACAAATGAGGAATTCAGATCAATTTTCTTCCAGTAAAACGTGTAATTGTAGAAATATACTGATGGAGTATGACTGTTGACCAAAACATATGTACGACACTGACAATTGTACAAAAAGAGATGAGGCACTGATCCAAGCTTAGTCCAGATCCAGGTGCTTAAACTGGTTTTAATTTAGTTCTGACAAAGACACACCCCTAAGTCAAACAAACCGATAACCAATCACCTTTCAAAAAGTTTTGGACACTATGTGTGGATCTGCACATTTAAAAAACAGTAAAACTGCATGAGCTGATTGACAAAATGAAAAGACTACAGTACACACACATGAAGAGAAACAACAAAAACAGTTTCAAGGACAGGACTAACAAACTGAGTGACTGTGCATGATCACAATTTGAAGTGTCTGAGTCAGGACGTGATCTAATAACCTCAGACTCGAAGGCGTGTGTGTGATGTGTTTTCACGGCTGGAGCTCTTAGTGCCTTTGCTCACCTAACCAGTAAAACAGGTGTCATCTGTGAAGCATTCTAAAGAGGCCAAAGTACAGTTTAAAAAGGTCAAAGAAGTGTAGTGTGAGTTAGAGGCAGTTTGGTACCATCTGCTGCATATTTGTGCAAACTGCAGAACAGGCTCTTCAGTATTTCACTGGAGTAAAAGCAGTAAAAGCAATCATGGAATAATCAGTCCAAAAGTCAAATGCAAAACAGGTTGAACTGTAATTTTTTATCTAAGGATTAAAGACTTAAAACCAGACACATTTTAAAAGATTACTCAAGCCTATCCCTTAAGCTCCAAATGCTCTGTTCCACCTTGTGATGTCATGAAGCAGTAGTTTTCATGTTAACACAGGGTTCCTGTGGTGCTGGAGCCTCCTAGGACCTGGCGTCCACATATGTCCAACACATTTTGTGTTGTTCAGGCTCTTAAAAAAGAGTTTTTGCAAAGCATTATTCAACTGTGACTTTATTGTGTTCCGTCAAAATGATTAAAACATAAACTGAATGTTTTATATGTCACATGTGGACATATAAATATAATTCTTTGTTTTTGCACTCATCACGTCCCAATCAGCCCAAATAACAAAGAGAAATGAATAAAGCCATGCAAGAGTTCGGGTCCTAGGAGGTTAAAAAGTCTAAAAGCACAGAATTTATGAATTTGGAAATAATACCTTAAAAAGACTTGAAAAGTCTTGAATTTTTATATCCGGGTCTTAACATTTGTGCAGTATGTAACTTCTCCATATTGCATTTCTCCTCAAAAGTTTAATTTGTCAACCACCATTATTTGCCTACAAAAGGAGTGTTCAAGAATTTTGTTTTTCTTTGCCGGTAGCTTTATGAAATAGGCCGTGAAATGGGTATTAAGTTTTTATATAAACTGTCTTAAAAAGGTCTTAAAAAGACTTGAATTTAACATGAAGAAACCTGGAGGAACCCTGTAACAGCATGTTAACAACAGCAGAGACTGTCAGTTCCAGGGCTGAAATCATCCAAATGATTCTAGTGAAGAGGTATAGTGTTTAAAAACACAGTGGAGCAATTCCTATATGACAATATGACATCACAAGGTGGAACGGAGTGTTCTGTTTGAGAATAGAACACAACCTATGCAGGGTTTATGTATTAAACATGTGAATGAAACAAGGTCTGTTTGTGATGAGGAAGCTACATTATTATAACTGTTGTGTGTTACATTTGTATAAATACACAGTCTGGTGAGTTTCATCACTATTCTACACTAAAAACACTTGATAGTAAAATATATTACAGCAACTGTTGTAATATTTACACTGAAATAACATCATTCTTTGAGAACTACACCTTATTGAATAGCAATGGACAAAATGTACTTAATTTACTCATGAAGTTGAAGTATAGTGTTTAATGAGTAAGTTCTACTACAGAATCACCAACATGTTTGAAAGGTTTTACAGTCGCTACTCACAAACCCAACAATACGAAGTAATACAAAGGCCTTCTAGAGAATTCCCTGCACTCAGCAGCTGTAGCTCAGTTGGTAAGAGCATTTGTATGTCCAATGATAAGGAGAGCAGTCAAATCCACCCTGATTCCAGCTCCCAATGATAAATGCTGTTGTTGTGTCCTTGGGCAAGACACCTCGCCCCCAGTGTCTGCATACACTGGTGTGTGAATGTGTGTGTGTGAATGTGTGAGTGGTTCCTTGTTGTAAAACACTTTGCGCCTTGAAGGTGGAAAAGCTCTGTTTAAAAATGTGACCATCTATTCTACATCAGTAAATACAAGACAGATAATATTTACTTCATCACAGCTATGCAGTTAATTATGACAATATTTCATATATTTTACTTAATTTATTTACATAAATTTGACTTCTAACTTTAAAAAACTGAGTAAAAGTTACTCAGTAAATTCATGTCTGTTAATTGTGGTGGTAAGTACATTTTACTTAATACTGACAAGTGAATTGTACCTTATAATACAGCAGTAAAATTTTGTTAAAAAGTGCTAGTGCAAATTGTTCCGAAGATATTTTCTAGTAAATTTTACTTCTTTTTTTTTCATACAGTACATAACCTTTCATACACATATAAATGAGAAGCAACTATGAATTCATAAAGATAAAAAAATAAAATCTCAAAGGATGAATAATCAGTGGCGTGTGAGACACAGCGACGTCACAAATGTTTTAAAACCAGCTCGGCCAAGTTCAGAGTCAGAAACAACTGAAGATTTGACTTTACACTGGTCCATCTGGAGACAAAATAAAACCATGTACGACCAGAAAGATTTATAGAAGAACTAGTTCTACATTTAAAACCAAAGCAGATTTTGACAAACTTGAATTCCATTCATGTATTTTTGGTCTGTTTTTGGACTTTGTTATATTGCAATCAGTTGAAATGTGGTGTTTCTGAATATATAGAATTATAGATGATTTGATTTTGCTTTTCAAATGTAACTCTTTAGAAATTGTTAGAAAATCAAATGAATGACATGAGCCTGTTTCTTTGAGGAAGGCACTGTTTTCAACATTCAGTATCTAAAGAGAAAATGCATAACTAAAAGGGACTATTGTTCTTTTGGATTTTCAAACTCACTAGTTACAGGTACCGTGAACTAGATTAATATACTGTGTATTTTGAATCTTTGACAATACTTTTTTTTCATGGAATTCTGACTGACAGTTCTCTATTTCTCTTTTTTTTTCCATCTTTACAGCAGAGAATGTGAAAATACATTGAATACATTGAACTTTTAAGGAATGAGTCCTTAAAAGTCACTATTTTTGCCTGCTTTCAAGATGACAGTTCAAGATGTATGACTAACATTCTTCATCACATCAACTAAATTATTGTTTTTTCCAGTTTTCCTGAGCTTTCGAACATATTAACACACTTGTGAGAATAAAAGACGTTCGGTTAGTGTTAGGGTTAATAGATGCACATCGTACTGAAGTGTTTCAGGTTTACTATGTTCTGTAAATTCAGCTTTGTTTGATGTGTTTGGAGTTTAATCCTATGATGCTCGCTGTTGGCGAGTGTCTGCAACTATGAGTTTGAAGTGGGGTGTATACACGGCTGCTGTGTAGTGCTCTCATGGCTGTTTGTTACTCGCTTTTGTTGTGGTGTTGGACAGTTTGAAATGCCTGGGCCTCTGAACTCCACTTATCCGTATTACTTCATATTGTCGGCGTATGTTGATGTTGGTGAGGTCAGGTACCTGTTATTCCTGATCATTCTTTCTTTGTTTTTGTGTATCATCGGCGCCAACTCACTGCTCGTGTACGTGATTTGCATAAACCGAAGTCTGCACGAGCCCTTGTACATTTTCCTCTGCAGTTTGTTTGTGAATGACGTGTACGGCAGCAGTGCAGTGTTCCCGCTGCTTTTAACTCAGATTCTATCGGACATCCACCGAGTTCCTGTGTCTTTATGCCTCCTGCAAAACTTCTGCCTCTTCTCCTATGGGGCCATTGAGCTGTTGATCCTCGCTGTCATGTCGTATGACCGCTATCTTGCCATATGCTGCCCTCTAGAGTACCAAGCCCGCATGACGCCCAGCAGAATTTCATTTCTTCTCGCATTGACTTGGGTTTCCCCATGTATTTTTTGCATAATCATGACGTCTTTAAGTGCCACTTTACACCTTTGCAATAACGTCATTCAAAAAGTATACTGTGATAATCATTCCTTTACAAAGTCGGCTTGCTCTGACACTTCGCTCATCAATGCCTGGGGCCTCTTAATTACATCTCTGTTTGTCTTTGTGCCATTAAGTGTCATCTTGTACTCGTATGTGCTCATTTTAAAGGTGTGTTTCTCCGGCTCGGCTCAGACGCGACAAAAGGCCGTGAGCACGTGCGGTCCTCACATTGCGTCACTGTTGAACTTCTCCTTCGGGGCGTTTTTTGAGATCCTTCAGAGTCGCTTTGACATGAGCGGTGTGCCCAACATGCTGAGGGTCATTCTGTCGTTGTACTGGTTAACGTGCCAGCCACTGTTTAACCCCCTGCTGTACGGCCTCAACATGTCCAAGATCCGGATCATTTGTAAAAGTCTTTTCTTAAGTCATTTTTAAGATGCTTTTAATTCAGCAACAATTTTTGCTTTGCCATGTCCCTCAGTCTGGCATTAAAGGGCCCATCTTACTCTTTTTCCTGATCTATGTTGTAATGTTTTGTTTCATTCACACATGTTTAATGCACAAAGCTTTTCTTTCAAATACACCTTCGCTAGAATCATTTGGATGATTTCAGACCTGTCAGTCTCTACTGAACTAAAGTTTAAAGGAGCTGTTCACTTGAAATGACATGCATTTACAGAGCCCCACTAGGTTTAATTAATGCTTGGAACAATAATTTTAAGTTTGTATTACAATATTTGTTATGTGATTATAAGATAATTTGAGGTACTTCAGTATTTAGCCCTTGAGCAATAGTTTGGACACGGCCCTACACAGCAGTTCGACTAACATACTTTGTTTTAATCTGTCTTTTAAGGGTGACTAATGTAACATCTGTCCAGAAACTAGTACTTGGAAACTAGTATTAGTCTGATTCATTAGCTGGTTTCACTTCGTGTGAACCGTCTGACCTCGCAGCATTAGGATTTGTTTGCTCGATGGTAAGCATGTACTTTTTTATGTAACCAGTTGCTGCTATTTGGTCGTGACATATGTGATGCACCAAGTCCCATAGGAAGAACCACAATAACATCTTTCCCCTTGATAAAATTAACCAAACATTCTCTTTATTCTAACTTTCAGTCCTCGATCTCGTGAATCGTTGCCAGCACAGAATGTCTGTCTTTGTCTACGTCCATTTCGACCTCTTTGTTTACTGTTGTGCTGGACCACAAATGGACCCAGACAGGTGCAACGAGTTTGATGTCATAGCTTCACAGCTCTTCGCTGGTTGGCTGGTGTGAGGTCTACAACTTTTGGGGTTCTTGTGAACCATCTAGTGTATTCCAATTCCTGACCTAGTCTCTGGAGAGAAATGAAATTGGGCAGGGGCACTAGGTGGCGCCAGCCTGGCTAATATATGATATGATTGTGGCTAAATCTGATGCATTTACAGAAATGTTAATTAATGTACTCTGTCTCTGTTAAATAATTAAATAAATGAATAAACTCCATTTTCCATTCTATTCCATTTTCTTCCTGGATAAGCGGAAGAAAATGGAATAAACTCTTACCCAAACCATTTCTACACAACAAATGTTTACACACATCTTTGATTTTAGACATTTTGAGTCCCTACACGACTGGACTGAACAAAGGCTGCGCAGTCAAGAAATAAAGTGAAAACACTCTTCCATCTTGTGATGTCATGTGGTAGTACAGGAAATGCTCCACTGTGCTTTTAAACTCCGTACACCTTCACTAGAATCATTTGGATCATTTCAGATCTGTCGATCTCTACTGAACTAAAGGTAAAAGGAGCTGCTCTTGTAGCTCTCTGTGCACTCAGAAGGAGCGAGCAGACACAAACAGTCGGTCAGCCTGCAATATGCCGAAGCACAAATGCACATTTAACAATAACTTGTACAAGAAATTCCTGGCTTTCTGTCCCAACAAGTGGGAGGCCATGTGCACAGTGTGTAAGTAGCACATATGTTTTGTTTCCCAGTGGGGGATTCCAGGGACCTCAAAGCTCACCAGGACACTGAAAAACATTAAAAAGCTTTGCCAGGTGAGATTAGCTCAATGTGGATGACAAGGCCCCACCTCCCACCCCCACGTACGGTGTCCTGGTTTTGACAAACGGAAATATGGTGACCCTAGGCTGTGTCTGACAGAGCAAACACTGGAGTTGCGGCCTCACAGTCCCACGTTTTGGCTCTGGCACCTGCTTGGAGACACTGTACAACTCAGTGAGTGCATTTACATGCACACCTGTATCCAGGTTTTCGTCATGGTGCATGTATATGCATAACCCCGGCTGCTGCAACATAAAGAGCTGCACTAAACCTGCACACAAACCTGATCTCTGAAAACATGAACCATCTCCAACACAATATACGCAAACAACAGACTCACCATTGGCATCAACATCTCTCTGTCACAGAGAGAATGCCTATATCCCACTGAGTCGTGTCCTTTAGTCCGACAGAAGCTGACCGCATCAACACACAAGAGCTGTTGTTTACTTCGCTTAGTTTATGCAAATTAGCCATGTGATTTTAAGTTTCATTTCTGTGAGATTTGCACAAAGCTGCATTAAACACATTATAATGTCAAACAGGCTGATGTGGCTCTAGAGTGGTTATGGTTTATATATCGTAGAGGTTGAGTTTATTTATGGAGATTAGTAGTGCAGATAGCAATAATTATGGTGATAATTTTAAAATAAAAAAGTTCATGATTAATTGAAAATCGATCATTAATCCTCCTGGCGATCTATTAAGATAATTTAATTGAATGCCCACCCCTAGTTTGGAGTGAGTGAGAAACTTCTGAGGGACTGGAGGAAAGCAGGGATGGAGAACGCAGCTTCACGATAACCGGCAATTTTCCTGAAGTCACTGGATGGATGGACAAAGCCTGGACTTCAGTGACACCGAAACCATCCTGTCGGGATTCAGAAAGACCCGAATAATTCTAACTGGAACTGATGCTGAGTCTGACGACAGCGACACAGAAGAGGAAGCGTCGCTCTGTTTACCTCTGGAGGTCGTGGAGTTGCTCAGAAGTGACACCGAGGATGAAGAATTGAATGGATTTAGTGATGTTGGAGTGAGATGGAGAGTTTGTTAAACTTGTTCTGTTCTGTTGTTTATGTTATAGTTTATCTGAAGAACTGTTCGTATGTGACATTAACAGTCTGTTGTTCTCTCTTCTATTGTTACTACAACTTGACTTTCAACGGGAAATGTCGGTTCCTGGTCTCTGATTTTATAAAATAAATGTCCCCCAAAAAGTGAGACTGTGCCAATTTTAACAGTTTTTTTCTTCTTCATTACACATGTTTTGGCTGGTGCGACTTATAGTTATGTCATACATTATGTAAGTAATGTGTCCAGAAACTGCTGGAAGGGGTTATCAAAATAAACTTTTATTGATTATATTATACATGATATGATATGATTATATTCTATCACCCTTAATAGACACAACACTGTGAACAATGACATGAGCAGTGACACCAGTTGGACCACGTGAATCTCTTTAATTCATTTTCCACACAACAAATGTTTACACAGATCTTTGATTTTAGACATTTTGAGTCCGTACACGACTGGACTGAACAAAGGCTGCACAGTTAAGAAATAAAGTGACAGCAGAATCTCCATCATACGATTGATAGAGCTCATGTCAAACCTGCTCTGAACAATCTGGAACGAACAGCCAAAGGAGAAGTTTAGCACAGACAGCAGGTGAGGCACACAGGTTCTCAGGGCCTTGTGCCGCGTGTCCAATGACCCACTGAAACACACCTGAAGAATGCGCACGTACGTGAACAAGATCAGGCTGAAGATAGGGAACACGGAGAGAAGAGTGTATAACAAACCAAAGATGTTGTTGGCTTTAGTGTTGGAACAGGCCAGTTTAACAATGGAGTAGTTCCCACATACAATCTTGTCTATCATTGTGCCACACAGTTTTAAAGGCACACTCAGAGAAGTCATGACTGCAATCCCCACAAACGCAACAAACCAGCTCAGGAAAATGAGGAGAGACACTTTAGTGACATTCATCTTCCTGTTGTACTGCAGTGGAAAGCAGATGGCCATGTACCGATCATACGACATGGCGGCTAACATAAAAAACTCAGCGCTCGCATAGTGGTACATGCAGAAAATCTGTAAGAAGCAAAAGTAATCTGTGAGTCTGACTCAGAAGGAGCTGAGCAATGAGACACAAACAGTCAGGTCAGCCTGCAACATGCCGAAGCGCAATGCACATTTAACGATGACTTGTACAAGAAATTCCTCGCTTTCGGTCCCGGTCAGGACAAGTGGGAGGCCATGTGCACATTGTACAAAGCAGCACATATGTTTCAGTGTCCAGCAGGGTGCCAGGGACCTCAAAGCTCACCAGGACACTGAAAAACATTAAAAAAGCTTTGCCAGGTGAGAGTATCTCAATGTCGATGACGAGGCCCCACCTCTCTCCCACCCAGTGGCCTGGTTTTGACAAACGGAAATATGGTCACCCTAACCTATGTGCACACATTTGATTGCAAACACCGATTTCTTTTACAACTTTGATTTGCAACAGCTCCGCCACGGTCATTTTTGAATCAAATTTAAACATACATTTGAGAAAATAAAATAAAATAATTCACATTGACATAAACACTACATATGCTGTTGGTACTAAATATCTTTGTCATCCTCACACTTAAAAATGACAAAAAATACAATTACATAACAGAGTAAAACATTACTGAGCATGTTTCATCCAAGACAATCTGGATAAACTCGCCAAGCATTGAATAAATCTACAAAAGATCCACTCAGATATACTGAAAAATGAAACACATTTTTACTCAGGGCATCATTCTTCTCCCAACTGCAACACAAAACTCATAAAATAAAAAATCTAAATAAAAAAGTGTAGCTTCTTTCTACATATCGCCAAATAAAACCAAAGAATACTTATCAGAGCCAGTGTAAATACTGCCACATACTGAAGTAAACCCTCAGAGCAAAGAGGATGCAGCTGATCTCTGCCTGTGGATCTTTATAAAGACTGTGCGCCACATCAGGACCCACCTCTAACTCTGAACAAACGAAAGAATCATAATTTATTCAAGAGAAATGTTAATAAGACTGAGAATTGTGTCTTTGTGTCTTTTTTTTTTTTTGGTGATACAGTTTTTTTTATTTTAGGTATTTTTGAGCCATAAAACTACTTGTAATTGAGTAAATCTAAGGTAAGGCTGTTTAATGTCATACTGTGGAACATTCCAGGCAGAGCAATGACATGACCTCAAATGAAAAGTTACACAGTGCACCTTTAACAAAATCAGACCACTGTGTACTGTTTGCATCAGATAAAATATTCTATCCACTGTAAACCTGGAAGTAAGAGCAATCAGGAGAGCTCTGTTGGACTTTTTGGCTGTCCATCCC